GAAAGGCAGACGACCAATGGGAAAAACGGTTCCTATTCCCTATATAAGCAGCCATGTTTTGGGTACACGCGCTCTCGCGCTCAAGCTCTCCCATCAATTCAAAGGCTCTCCAATAAAGCGTGATCTGAGAAGACTCCTGGTGTGGTGGTCGTTCTTCCTCGCTGGCCGAGAAGGCGTTCGCCGCAGGACAGGCCTGGTCATCACTGGGGAAGGCGCACACCTCAGGCGAAGACCAGTGCAAGGTCCTCTCATTAATGTTTTAGACAGAGGCCCAACCTCTACTCTTACCTGTTGCTTAATAAAACAAAAAAGGGGGAGCTGTGGAGAGCTGCAGGAGCCAATGGCGCGGCCGCGTGGCGTGGCTCCGACCTAAGATGGTGCGGGCTCCCGCCTTCCGTCTTCCCCGTGACGAGTGCTCTCTGTAAAAAACAACTCCTTATATGGCTATGACTTGGCTCCTAGTTTGCTTCTGTGTTTGCAGCCCTATCAGTATATGCCACATGGCGCTTCAGGATTGGCCATCCAGGAGGCTTATAACTGGAGCGCGGGGGCGGATGGGAAGGAGAAGCATAGAGAAACAGGAAGAAGTGGGCAGGAGAGAAGCAGGAGAGAAGAAGCTGTAAACAAGGTCCTGAATAAACCGTCTGAGAGAAGAACCTGTTGTCGCGTCATCCTTGCGGGTCGAGGCGGTCGCGACAAAGTTGGATCAATCTGGGTTTACAGTTGAACTTGAAGCAAAATTTATGACTTGGATCTGTGCGCAGTTACCCCTGTGCCTGGTCCCTGCTAATCAGGAGGATGAGGCACGGGGATTGCTTGAGTCCAGGAGTTCAAGGCTAGCTTGGCAACATAGGGAAACCTCAGATCAAAGTAACAATGACAGCAACTATATATCCCTGGGCCGGCCTCAGTGTCCCCATGAGAGCTTTCTGGGAAAGTTCTCACAGCCTGCTGGTTGGATCTTGGTTGGGATAAACCAGCTTGGCTAAGGAGCAGAGGCCGGCAGAGGTCGTTGTGGGACATGACTGGCTCTCCTCTCCCATAGCTCTCACCTGTTTTCCAAGTTTCTACTGGAAGCATGCACATTCTCTAGAGAAGGAAACTTCCTTCTTTCCTTCCTTCCTTCCTTCCTTCCTTCCTTCCTTCCTTCCTTCCTTCCCTCCCTCCTTTCTCTCTCCTTGCTTGCTTGAGGAGCCTGACTGCAAAGGCCCAGGATGTGAAGATGTCACTGAGTTACAGCAGTAATTAGAAGCTGGGCCTTGCCAAAGATGTCAAGTCCCCAATCATTGTTCAATTGATTGATTCCACAGGGGCTCAGCCAAGACAGCTCCTGGTCCTCCTTCCTGCAGCCACCACAGCGTTGGAAGTTGGGTCTCCTGAGGGCCCCCGGGGGCCCCATGTGGAAATCTGGCCAGTGCTGCTCCTGGTTTGTCTGGAGCACAGGTGGTCACATGTGCCCTGCATCTGTTCCCATGTCCACGTTCTCATCCATGGCTCTCCCTCCCTCCTGGGACATACCACCGGCTTGCCTGCTCCCTGGGCAGTCCCTGGTCCGCCTGTGCCCTCGCTGCCTGTGCTTATTTGGCACTGGCTATGGCTTGAGATCAGCTCCTAGTTAGGACTCATGCCTGGACCTGCTGGCCACTCCACACAGGACACCCTAAGGTGAAGCCCTGTCCAGGGAGGAGAGCCACAGAGTCCTGCATGGCCACCCCCCTTCTGATTTCCACAGCGGTGCCTCTCCACATCCGCGGATGGAGATGATCCAAAGTGCCCAATCAGGTTGTTAGGGGGGATGAGGTGGAGGGAAGAGGCAGAGGTGGGGGGAAAGAGCAGAAGGCGAGTGATGTACATTGCATCTGTCTTTGAAAATGGCAGAAGCAATCTCAATGGAAGCTGAAGTGGCCCAGCCAGGGTCCCTCCTCCTGGCCACTGTGAAAGATGCACAGAGGGACACAGGTTCCAGCGGTGGCTTCCTGGGCTGCAGCCCTGGTTCTGCCATTTTTGTGCTGTGTAATCTTGGACAACCATTTGCCCCCTAGTGCCTCAGGTCCCAGACTATAGAAGGACAATCAGGATCCTGTTCATACTTCCTAGAGTTGCTGTGCACGTTCACTCCTGCAGAGGGCGCCACAGAGAGCAAAGAGTCCATACCCATTGGATACTGCTTTCAAAGAGATGAAGTTTGGGGCCCCTGGTGGTGTAGTTGAGAGAAGAATTATTTCTTCGTGGGTCCTGGAGTAGACATACCTGGGGGAGTTTTGCCATCGTGAGGGGAGAGCCTACCTGATAATACGTCTAGCACAAAGGAAAGAGTGCTCTCAGACAAGAAAAGAGGAACTATGTTCTGTTATCAGAACCTTGATCTAGCTATTCTTGAAGTCATTCAGCCACGTAAGCCACATACATCTGTCTCCTCTCCTCCTCCTCCTTCTCTCTTCCTCCTCCTCCTCTTCCTCCTTCTCTCTTCCTGCTCCTCCTCTTCCTCCTTCTTCTTTAACTTACTTCAAGTTGGGTTTCTGTCATTTGTAACAGGAGCCTCTAAAAGGGCATCTACCCATCCATCCATAGATCTGCTCAAATCCCAGCACCGAATCCTAGCTGTGCAGGCTCCACTTCTCACATCGCTTCCCCTCTCCATCTACTAAATGGGATTTAGTTACATCACTTACCAAGTGGAACACGTTCCAAGGATTAAAGGGAGTGAAGCCTGCGGTTCAACCTCTAGGTTGAGCCCTGAGGAGAGGCCCAGAGGCTGCCCTTCCATGCCCTTACCCTCTTTGCCTCCCCCTCCCCACCCTGGTGCGGGAGTCCGCAGCTCCAGCACCCACCAGACCTGGTCCTCACACACAGGCAGAGTCTGGTTGGTACAGACTTTATTGTTTCTCCAGCATTTTCCAGAAGAATGGTATCATTCGAGGGCCGCAGGGGATGGGGGAGTAAAAAATAACATAAACAAACTGAACAGAAACGCAGGAGGGCAGCAAGAGGGGCTGAGATGGGGCGCTCGGGGCAGAGAGGTGGCAGGCCTGGGCCAGTCAGAGCTGTTTAGCTTTCAGCCACCAGAGTGGAGAATTCTGCAAAAAAAAAAAAAAAAAAGGACAGGCAGTGAGTTACAGTGAACAACAGATAGGGGGCGCCAGAGAGGCTGCTCCGCCCGCAGGGTGCTTTGATTTGGTCTCTGTTCTGTTGTTTTGAGATAAAGATTCTTGCTCTGCGGCCAGATGAGCTTCAAATTCGTGAATTTTCCTGCTTCAGTCTCCTAAGTGCCAGGAGTACAACCATGCACCACCATACGCAGCCAGGCACTATTTTAATATCTTATTTAACTCTGACTACAATTGTATCACTTATCATCACTCCTAGTCCACAGATGAAGAAACAGGCTCAGGGACCTGCAGTTTTTCTGAACTTCATTGCTGAGGAAAAACTGCAATGAGAAAGAAGAGTCACCAGGTACCCCTAGCTGTCTCTAAGACTTGGTGTCCCCAGCCCAGGCCTGCCAAAGCACAGGGTCTCTGCTCAGTCCCTGGCACCTCTGGAAAATGCAGTGCTGTGATCAGGGAAGAGCCAGCTTGGGGAACAACAGTGAGGGGTTTGGCTCAGGCATGGTGGCGTATGCCTGTAGTCCTAGCTACTCTGGAGGTAGAGACAGGAAGATGGAGAATTTGACCTCAACCCAGGCAAAGTTAGACCCTATCTCAAAAACAAAATGTACAAGAGCTGGGGTGTGTGGCTTGAGCAGTAAGGCCCTGTGAGGATCTGGGCTCAACCCCATGTAGTGTAACTAATAATGAGAAAGAGGAGGAGAAGGGGCTGTAGGGCCTGAGCCTCTCTGTCTGTCCACTCACTGAAGACAGGGGAGGCCATTCCTCCTGGGGGACAAGTGAAAGGCAGGCTGTGACACAGGCTGTGACAGAAGCCAGCCGCTCACACCTGTAATCCTAGCTACTCAGGAGGTGGAGGCCCAAGGATTGTGGTTCAAAGCCAGCTTGGGAAGACAAATTCAATAGACTCTTAGTTCCAATTAACCAACCAAAAGCTGGAAGTGAAGCTGTGGCTCAAGTAGTAAAATGCCAGCCTTGAGCAGGAAAGCTAAGGGGCAGCGCCCAGGCCCCTGACTTTAAGTCCCAGCACCAGTGCGCATGGGTGTGCGCACAGCCCTGAACTCCTTTGAAGCAGAACGCCTCTGTGGCACCCGCCATCCCGCCGCCCCCTTGTTCCCCACTGTAGCTGCAGTGATATGAGGGGGCACGCCAGGTGGAGGTGAGAGGGGACGCAGAGGTCAGGGGACTCCCCTGAGCACTGCCACAGTTCTGCAGATCGTGATAATTTCAAAACGTAAAAAGTCAAAGAGCATAAAGCAACCATAGCAACACCTGCATGCGTATCCTGGAGCTGGCTAGGCCCAGCCCCATCCGGGAGAGGGGCTGCGTACCTGGAAAAGAAGCACCACTTTCTCTTGTCCCTGAGCTGTCCCAGGACGGGAAGAGGGTGATCTGGATGTGGGGGTCTGGGCAGGGACTCAAGCTGGGAGACAATGAGGAGGCCACTTACTTGAGTGAGGGTCCTGAAAGCCTGAGGCTCTTCGGCGGGCAGGGATGGAGCCTCGAAAAACTACTGAGACACCAAACACTCTCAGAGAACCCCCTCCCTGGGCCAGTACCATAGGCTTGTTTCCTCGCCCAGGAGCCTCTGTGAGCCTGTGGGACCTTGGTTATTTATCTCAAAAGGGCAGGAGAAGGGAGGGACTAAGAGAATGCACAAGAAGGGGTGAACTGGTTCAAGGTATGCATCCATAGAAATAGCGCCATGACCCCTTGTCCTGGTCTAATGAACCACCGTGCGTGTTGATGGTTTGTGGTCAGCATGGCCTTGGGGAAGAATGGTGCATCGAAGAGCACCTTGATTTCCCCCCAACTACCTGGGGAGACACACTCACAGATGGGGAAACTGAGGACCAGGGGTTTAGCTCCACCACGGTCACCACCACAGCAGAGGCGACGCAGCGGCACGCACGCTCAGCTCCCTGTCCACCCTGGAGAGTCTGACCTACTTTGTAAGGTGTAGAGTGACACATGTCCCCGCTCTGGTGTCACCGCCCGGCGGCTCCGTCACGTCAGCCCTTTTTTATTTACTTCATGGTACTTATCACACTCTGAAATGATCTTATTTATGTACTTATTTTTGTCAGGCTTCCCCGCAAGAATGGAAGACAACTCTTAGAGGGCGGGGAAGCCTGGCTGGCTCACACCCCCACCCTCAGCTGCTGGAAGGTTCTGGAACACTGAGGATCCTGCTAAACAAGTGGCAAATGGAGGTGGGGGGGTCTCACGACCCCCTCCTCAGGATTCAGCAAAGGGGTGCTGCACATGTTGCAAATGGGGAAAGAGAAGGATGGAGGTGTGAGGGGTGAGGATCACAGAGAAAGTAAGGCCCAGAGCCACTGCTTGTCCTCTGGCCTCAGGAAGCCTGGCCAGTGACTGGGGACCCAGTTCCTGCCAGGAATCGAGCACGGTCTGTCCAGCTTCTCTGGCAAAGCCAGCCTGTCCTGTCTGGGGCCCGGGGGCCCAGGGGGCTGGGCGCGGTCACTGCTGGAGAGGGGCCCTTGGGTGCCCAGGCTGCTCACTAGGCAGGAAGGGGGCTGGTGGGGCCCCAGGCTGGGAGAAGCCGGACGCTGGGGAGCCTGAACCTCAGATGTATTTGGGGCCTGTGGGTTCTTTATGTGAGGCTCTCTCTCTGTGCACCCTGGGATGGCTCAGAAGCCTTTGGGGTGACCACAGGCCTGACTTTTATGCATTGGCCCCAGGATTCTAATGAGCCTGTGACAGGGCTGGGGTAGGGCCCCCTCTTGGGCATCTGTGTGTCCCCACAGGGCAGTACGGTTGGGGGCCCTCTACTTGAAGGGCCTTCTCCCTCCCTCCCCCCACCCCACCTCTCTGTTTTGTCAGTCATGGGGCTTGAACTCTGATCCTGGGCGCTGTCCCTCAGCTCTTCAGCTCAAGGTGAGCATTCTACCACTTGAGCCACAGCACCACTTCTGGTTTTCTGGTAGTTCATTGGAGATAAGAGTCTCACGGCCTTTCCTGCCAAGGCTGGCTTGGAACCACGATTCTCAGATCTCAGTCTCCTGAGTAGCTAGGATGACAGGCGTGAGCCACCAGCACCCAGCTGAAAGGCCTCCTCTTGAACACCTTGTCTTGTCTTAAAAGCAAAGACAGATACCAAGGACCTGGCGGCGGCGGGCCAGGCCCTGTCCTGAGACAGGGAGTGGGGGGTTGGAGGCCTAGGTCCTTGGGTGCCTGGACCTGGTACCCAGCCCCCTCCTGGCTCAGCTTTCTTGTCTGTGGGGGTCTAAGAACACATTCTCTTGGCTCTAATGGGGGTGTCTGGAGCCTGAGAACTGGGGTCCACTCCCAGCTCCCATCTCTTCCTCCTGTGATCTTTGACTAGGTTCCCCATCTCACTGTTCATCTGAAAGGCGGTGCTTTGAGATTACCTCGTTTAGAGTTTGGAGGAGCCAGCCAGATGTCAAGGCCCACCAGAGCCGGCACTCAGAGCTGGCGCCCAAAGACCCCTGGGGGCCACTTGGACACCAAGCCTAGCCACTGCCTGGCATAGACAGGACGCTGCCACACTGGTTTATGAACATCGTTACTGCCAGAGCTACTGTTCATCTCCACAGTTCCCCAGCCATTTTCTGTCTCCACCTGGGCATTTTCTGTCTCCAGCCTGCTGGCTTACGTTAGTGCCACTGTCCCTGGCAGAGCCCTACAACTAAGTAGGACAAGAAAGACCTAAACAGGAGACACAGGAAAGCTAAATCGCAAGCAGCTGACGGGATTTAAGTTTCCCAAGCACCATCTGAGTTAGTATCCTGCCTCAGTTTCCTCATCTGTAAGATGTAGGGCAACAGGAAGGATTCTGGGAGATGAGGGGTGTGGGCGAACACCATTGAGATGAGGGGGCTTGAGCCTGGAGAAGGATCAAGAATGTTCTTCCTTTCGTTGTAAGACTTGCAGGGACGGTGCTACCTTTGCAATCTGAACTTCTTCCCAGGGCCCTGCAAATCCCTGGTCCGGTGTCCTCGTTGGCTGATCAGAAAGAGATGGAGGAGGTGGGGATGGGATGGCAGGAGACGGCAGATGGAGGGCTGGCAGATGCTCCTCTTTTCTTTCCCTCAGGAAACTGAAATTAGCCTAATGAGGTCTGCCCTAGTCCGAGGTGCTGGGGGATTGGACAAATTTAGAAGCGCATGACAGGTGATGCTGATGGCCCCGAATGAAACTCAGAGACATTGAGTCAGCTTCTGGAAGGCCTCGCCTCTGTCCCTCCGTCGTGATGACCAGGAGACAGGGCCTGGCCCACTCCCGGTTTATCACCTCTCCTGGAAATAGCTCCCAGGCTGGGTTTCATTTACATAGCTATTGCATGCAGAGATCACTTTCCTATCTCGCTAAGCCAGGAGGCAGGGTCATTTGGGGTCAAGCCAGGCAGCCCCGAAGAAGGAGCTTCAACAGTTCTCTGGGGGGACTCACTGGTGTCATTCCATTTCATCCCCATTGGCTCAGACCCAGTTTCTTTGCAGGGAAACTGAGGCAGGACGGCTCTTGTGGGAGGATCTTCTTGGCTTGTGTCTCCTGCTCGAAGGAGAGTGGAATGGTCCTGCACCCTGACTCTGCATCCTGACTCAGCTGTGGCCTCCAAAGTGGAGGGAGAAGGATGGGTGGAGGAAGGACGTCTCGTTCTGCCCTGACCGCTGCTCCATTTTCCCAGAGGCCAGTTACATAAGCAGCCTGCACCGCATCCTCTCCCGGCTCTGTCTTATCTAGCACAGCACAAGGCTAGAGCTAGTGAACATCCACTCGGGAATTCAGAGGAGCAGATGGCTTAGCACAGGACCCACTTAGAACCCCAAAGGCTCAGGAGGAAGAGATACGATTAAGAGGCCCAGATTCAGTCTTGGATCTGCCCATAACCGTCCACCAGGCCTCGGTTTCCACATCTCTCCCTTGGGTTTTTCCACTCAAGGCTGGCACTCTACCATCTGAGCCACTGCTCTACTTCCGGCTTTTTG